TCTAAAAACAGCTATGAACAAACAGCAACAACTATCAGTGTATAGACACATTCTGTATTCACCATGGCTGCAAATGTCTTATTGTTTTTGATTTGTTTTATTTTTTAGAAAAGTTTTTATTTTTTGTTTTCTTTTTTAGATTGTAGTTTGTTTTAATTTCTTTCTGTAAGATCCTTTTTATCCTTTCTAAGGATTTTATGTGTCTAATAAAAAAATATTAAAATATAACTGTTATTGTCTTTACCTTATCTCCTTCCTGTACGTCACATATCTTTTCCCCGTTACTGGGATTGATGGTAGAAAACGTCTTGCCACTGATAGAATTTACGAATTCATTATTGATAAAAATCTGAAGAACGTTATAAATATAAAGGTAATTAGTTTACATGAAATGAATGTTTTCCCATGATTTACCATGGTAAATTACTAAAACAACAAGAAATTAAGTTTCAACTCAAAACTATTCTAGAACGAATGATCAAACGTTCTACAATACATAATAGTTTTGACTAATGTAGGGTCGGTATAATTAGTCAACCGGCGACTGACTAAGTATGCCGACCCTATTCACCGTCCCTCACCAATGGTGCCCTACTATTTGGTTCTTTTTATCGTCCAATAAACGTTCCGAGAGTCTGTGTCCTACCTGGGTATATTTAACCTCTGGAGGTTCCACTCGTGTACCACTCATATTGATTAGTTGTAAAGGCAAGGAAATGGATATTTAGATGTAGTGACTAGTATATCATTCACAGTAGCATAAATCTACCAGTGGGCAGCCTAGGTGTAGGTGCCTGTGTGACCTATGTCGTTTTAAAGTACATAACGATCATGTGACTGGCAGTATTATTATATGGTGGCGTTGTATCACTTGGCTCTCGTTGTATTTCAACACACACTCTTAAACGGTGGGCCATCGACTCGTGCATGTAACTACTAGTATTTTATTTATTTGTCTACTTTTTGTAACAGGGGTTCATTAATCTACTAAGAATATGGTCTGCATAAAACTTGTACACAAATACAAAGCGCTAGCGTTGTAAGGGATTGGTCAGTTACTTCGGCCTAGGGGGGTCGGTGGATCAGTAGGGGGGTACCTTGTTTTTGATTGTGCGAATAGGGGGGTCACCCTGTTTTTGATATCATGTTTTACAGAGTTCACACACGCTCATGCATATATTTTTAAAAAATTTATTTCAGAACAAACGATAAAAAAGTTAATCGTACAAATGTATTCTTAATAACTATTACCTATATTGCCTATAAATTTGTTGATGCAAAAAATGTTATAGGCTAAATATTTTGAGGTTAAAGTTGCCAAATAACTAACAGATTATGCAATGCGGCTAGAACCCCAATTATAGAGTTAAGTTTTAAACACATCCCAAGTACATGTGCTGCTGATATCAGATTATTTTATTTAAAGTCTGAAGTCACTCACCATTGCATAAGATATTTACTGGATTTATCCAATTATAACAGGAGACAGAAGACAACAAGCAATTAGTACAAAGAGCAGTGACAGTTAAAAGTTAAATTTGTGAAAATGCTGATATAGTATAGTATAGTATAGTATATTT